GAAGCAGGAAGCGGAGGGAGTATGTCTCGTCTTGTTATAAGGTTCAAGAGGATGCAGTCATTCATGGAGGGAAAAAGAACAGCCTCCTCCAAAGGTTACAATAAGAAAGAGGAGTTGTGTTTGTTACAGAGAGAGAAGCGGAAAACTTTTCTGATGTAAATCCAACATTAATAAAAAATGGATTCATTTTCTTTCATGTTGCACATTTTAATCTGCAACACGCTTAAAAAGAAGTGAGAAGGTCCATCCTTGAAAAGCTAATGTTGAAATAAATATTTCTGGAATAGAAAATAAAACTTATGTTTTGACACAGGCACTGCACTCGGGTGCTTAAAGGCTGAGAAATGTTTCCTGCTGAACTGCTCAGAGTAGACACACAGTTATTTGATTTAAAAACTTCAATTAGCTGCTACAAGTCAAAATAATTCTTTTCCTGGTTCCAGAAGTAAGAAAAAATGCCTGGCAACAATTGTTGTTGGTGGGATTAAACAGGTTAATCCACTGAGGAATTGCTTGCAGCATGGTGAGAGAACAGGAAGACTGCATTGTAATTCCCAGCCTTTAAAAGTCTGAGCAATCATTCCTGCCACCCCGAAAGACATTATGCAAAAATAACAAGCAACATGTAAAATCCTTCAAGATATATGTTGTTTTTAAAGTGAGCTTATCCGCAATTGTACAAATGCTTTGCCTGCAAATAAGTTCGTGTAGCAGTCAGTTAGGATTCCTGATGGGCAAGTCAAGAATACAAATTTTTTAGTGTTTGAAGCCACAGATGATTAGTCTTAGATATTTTTGAATCAGTTTGAACTTTATTATAGGTCTTTCCACCTAAATACTTTTGAGTCACGTTTTTACTGACTTTTATTATTTTCTAAATCTGAGGAAGGAATAAAATTAAAATATTTAGACATGCGATTGCTTTTCTTTCTCTCTTTCTTTCTTTGTTTCTCTCTTTCTTTCTTTTTTCTTTCTTTCTTTCTTTCTTTCTTTCTTTCTTTCTTTCTTTCTTTATTTATTTACTTATTTATTTATACCTCAAACCTAACGTGTTGCTCAAATGATTAAGTTTGTTGTTGATGTCGCCCCCTGATGTTCCAAAGGATGCAGTGTAAACACAAACAAACTCTATTTGTCCATGAATTATACTACAACTTCCTGGACTACAAAAAGAGGGGATGTCCAGTGTCCAGCAAGCAATATACCTTTGATTTATTAATGCTGGGCTGTTGTATGGCAGTAAATTACATCCCTTTTGAGGACCTTTGGTACTCATTAGGGATCAGAAGGAAGCTATGAGCTTGTGTTGTGCCTACTGTGTTGTGTTATTAGTCCTTGGAGGAGGATGGCTGAAATATGGCTGCTCTGCTTCCTGATCTTTGTATCTTTCCTTCCAACCGTCTTACACATTTCACACAGCTCTTATGTTCCTTCCTTCTGCTACACTCTCCTGTTCCCAACATATAATCATGGACTTCTTTTGTGATCATGCAGTGTGTCAACCTGGGTTCAGATTTGTTAATGATCACCGGGTGCAATTATCAGGAGCTGCGGCGAAGGCACCATCCTCATTGATTACTACTGGTGACAGTTAAAAAGCATGGCATAATTCCCATTGATCATCTGCGACAGTGTGAAAAAAATGGCGTCATCTCCATCGATTTGCAATGAAAGCATGTGACAAAAGTGTGTCACTTGCTCAGAGAAGAGCCTTTTGTACACAGTTCTATTCATCATTTAAATGTGTGTGGTGCAAATGAAAAATTTCACACCAAGGAGACTGAAAACAAGATGGACACAGATGGGAAAAGTCTTATTCCATTGAAAAACAAATTATGTTTGCCACAGATGTTCAATCAGTGGTGTAGGCGAAGCAGATAAATCATTCTTACAATAATCTCAAATTAAATTTTAAAGTTGCCCTCTGAGCTCATTTGTGGATCACCATAAGGTTTACCAAATATAAACACAAACTGATACAGTACCTTGGAAAATTATAAATGTCCAGTGAACTTTCACGTGTTTTGTCACATAAGAACCACAAAATATAGTTTATTCTATATGGCGGTGTACAACATGAGTTTATTTGTCTTAACATGCTTTCAAAAAGTTCAGCGTGGCTGGTGCCTAAAGAAAGTTTTCCATAAACAACTTCTCGATGCAGATTTAACTTTGTACAAGAAACCCACAAAAAACAATAAACCTTTTGACTTGTTTTGAACAATTGAGGTTATCTTTACATAGTTAAATCAAACATTTTTCTGTCCTGTCCACTTATTAAGGTTGTATTTTATTTCTCATTAACTTTTTGTTTCTCTCTCCTTTGTTGACTTTTTTTATATTTGGTCAAACCTGGTTCCTTTCTCTTCCTCCATCTTAATTCCAGTTTATGATTTAAATACTGCTGATACTTTCTTCCTGCTACCTTGATGAGACATAAGAATTCACAGAAATAGATTGATGAGATGGAGATAACCAAACCAGCCAGACTTCACTGTGAATTATAATCGCCTCCAATCTGTGTCTCTGAAACGCTGCCCAGTTTTTATCACCATCCGTGTGCGTGTGTGAATGCGTGTGTGTATGTGTGTTTGGGGGTTCGAGGAAACTGAGCCCTTCAAGTCACATGTGCTGTATCTTTTTATGAACTCATGAATGTGAGCGATGAAGTCCTCTCCCTTAGGGGAGCAGTATATGAGCATACGTCCAGCTGCTACTTATTATTCTCCTGGCTCCTACAGTGTCTGATCTGTCTCTCTTTTCTGTCAAAGTTTCATGTGTGTTGGAATATAATTTTGTTTACTGTGTTGCTCTCACAGACACACACATACACAAGCTATTAGACAACAGCCATCAGGGTGAGCGGCCCATCACTCACCCTCACATAAGGTATTCAGCTGCATTATATCAATGTCACATTGTCATTGACCAAATGTGTGGCGGGGTGTATGTGTCTATAAACGTGTAGCCAATAGCCTCCAAGGCAACAGAGAGAGAATACACCCTGAGACGCTCATGTGGAATAAAAACGAGGAGATCAAAAATCTGTAAATTTGCTCACTAGAAAGGTTTTCGTCTGTGCAAAGTTGCTCTGACACAAAGAAAATCAAATTTTGTTCTGAAATAGACTTAAAAAAATGTTATGTCTCTTTTCCTCAAAACATCAGAGGTCAAGAAAAGATTCAGTCTTAGCAATTGAAGCATTTGAAAAGATCTTTAAAAGCCTTTGTTAAAATGTCTTGATCAGGTGGACAGCAAAGAATTTGACGGTTTACGGCACAATGACAAATTACTGCTGTGCAATCAAGTTCTAATATTTGAACACGTTAACATGTTGTATTGCAGAAATTTTATGCTTCAATGCAGGAGTTTTAGAAAAAGTTATTTGGATGTAAATTAATCCTGTGGATAAAAAGAACCAATGAAATCAGTGGTGCTTTGGAAGCAGGCTAATCCCAATGCTGATACAAAGTATTTTAATGTTATTTGGATACCAACATTAAAATATAGACTGAATCTAAAACACAGAAATGATTTCACAACTTTTTAAAAAACTAAATGAGCATACATTAAATTCAAAACAATTACAAATAGGTCGGTTTGTCTGTTCTCTGTGTGTCTTCAACAGGATTAATACAGCCCTGTATTTAGGCTAATAAGATGTATTGAAATGATATCAGGTTTCTGTGGTTGAGTATATTCAATTTTTTTAACATAAATCAGGAAAAATTCAGACATGTAAAGAAAGGAGACAGCACAAGTGAACTGTGTATTCTGTACAATGAAGCAGAAGCGCCATCTCTTGTTGAGAATTGGTACAACTTTTCCATCATGTCCGTAAAAGACGTTTCATGTTTTTCTTGTATACAGAATTAAATAGTTCTTATTTTTTGAATCTGTAGTTTGAACTGTAGTTTTGTGGATCACAAAAGCATGAATAAAGTCGTTAGCTCTGACTGAAAACCTGCAGACATTCCCACTTCTGTTCCACAGAAAACACCAAAACAGTGGCAACTGGGCTTTAAAACACAGCAGGCTCACAAAACTACACATCCCAACTAAACATCTAAACTAAATTCTTTTTTTTTTACCTGTGCTACATCCCACAGAGTATTTTCTCATGTAGAATCTCTCACAACTCTGCCTGAAGGGAAAACATATTTCAATGTGACAAGTCTGCTGGCCTGTGCTGTGTTACACTATTACACCTTCATTTATCCTCCTTATGGATGCTTCTGTAATAAGAAAACGCTCAGACACCGAACCAGTTTGGAAATAGGGAATATTTTTTTAAAAATAATGTGTGGTTGAGTGTAGTACAGTTTAACTGCAAACAAAGCCATGCCTCTTCAATCAAAATGCTGGAAGTCATTCTAGTTGTGCTGCCTGAGGGGAAAAAAGGGATCAAAATGCCGTGCAGTCCTCGGCAGAGCTGCACAAGCAGGCGGTGCCGACACAACACACTGTGGCCAAACTTCCCTTTGCTGCTCCTGAGCTAAAACAGTTTAGCATGACGTTCCTTGGCTTTAGTGATCATCATCTTTACCTCTTTAGCCTGTTCTCCAAATGCAAAGTGTTGCATCTCAAAGCTTTTATCAGCGTTTCAAAAGAAGCTAAATTGGGAAATGTGGAGAATCCATGGAATTGTCAATATGCTTAAAATCTGTAAAAACCCCATTTAATTTTACTTCAGTACTCCTTATCTCTTGTAGGTTAACCTTAAACAGTCATGTTTTGAAAGCATTTTTGAGAAAATAGGTTTTACACTAAAAATAGCGTGCAACAATGATAATCCTAGCAACCTGCATGTCTGCCCCTCCATTCTGTGTCATCAGGAGTTGCTGAATAAAGGTGCCATTCATTCCTGAGCCGTCCAATGCTCTGGTGTGTTTGTGTGTTGTTGTTGTCCACTGTTCCTGTTCACGTGGATAATGTAATTGGCAGACAGCTCTCGTTCAGGCCGGGTCAGGCCCTTTTTCAGGCCAGGGTAGAAGGAGGAATGTAACGAGTGAGGACGTGGCCTGGATTTTTTCCTCCGGGCTATATGAAAATGTGGACTTTGCCTTTTGGAAATATTTAGATTCAAAGAGTCTGGAAGAACTCTGCGACTGAATCCCTGATTGTTTTCCAAGGGATAAACGTCTGTTGTTTGTCTGCTGAAAGCTTTTGCGGAGTAGGAATGGGTGCTAATTGTACCCTCTGCTGCTGTCACCACTATCTGGTGCAGAACAGAGAGGAGAAGAAGGCTATCCTGCGGTAAGAGAAGCTGACAAATATAGTTGCATGAACATTGAGTTTATAGTCTAAAAGGAGTGAAAAAGAAGGAAAAATGAATTATCCTCTACATCACTTTCTTCCATTTTTCCTACAGCATGAGGACCACTTCAGGGCGCAGGTCAGCCGATGAGTTATCCAGTGATTCCAGTGACAGTGAGACGGAGGAAGAAAGCCTCTTTGGACCACACTGTTTGGAGAAAAACCTAAAAACTAAACAGCAAAGTCAAAGATTAACAGTGGATCCGTGGGTTTATTCCAACAGAGCAGACGGGTCTCTGATCAGATGTGGATCGGACAGAGAGCTGCAGGCCTTCATCAACATGAGAGACCAGGCTGATAAGGCTACAGAGGTAATGAACTGCATGTGGTATACATTAGCACAAAATATCCATATTAACATCAAAGAAAAAGAGGAGGAAGTGGAGATGAAGTCAATTGATTTGAGAATGCACAGAACAGAAATAAATGTAGACAAATTCGTTCATGTTTATCAATTTGTATCATAAAATTTTGGACAACTTTTCAGGGCTGGGAATACTTTTGCAAGGCTCTGTAAATATCTGAAATCCACCAAACAGAAAAGGGACTGGCTTAAATGAAGAGCTTTCTTTAAGTCTCGATGATTATGAGAAAATCCACATTTACTCTGTTGTGAGGAATTTTCTCTCTCTGTGGTATTAATTCATTTGCTGCGGTCTAATGAAATAACTCAATAAGATCAGAGAGTGCTGCACAGGAGATTCTCAAAGAGGTCTTTGATTCTCCACCAGGCTGACTTGGATTAGTAAATGACTTTGACCTAGATTCTATGATAATATGATATCAGAATTATTTAATTTACAAAAAAGTAACAGCATTACAAATTCTGTGTTTCCATGACAAATGAATAACATCAAATTATTAATTATTAAGTTAGTTGATTTGAGAATGCACAGAACAGAAATAAATGTAGACAAATTCGTTCATGTTTATCAATTTGTATCATAAAATTTTGGAAAACTTTTCAGGGCTGGGGATACACGTCTTGATTTAGAATTTGTTTCTGACATAAGTGCTAAAAGGTGAAAGATAATTTATGATTTGGTTTTGAGTGAGACGATTCAACAGAACCAAGTCTGTTACTCTGGTGACAAGGACATGTCAAGCTTTATTTATAAAAAAATATAAATGTAACTCCTAAATTCAATCCAACGTAAGAACTACTTTGACTCGACACTCTCTAATCTAGTCAAATCTGTTCACACATTTTGCGTTTTTCAATCCAATTCAAGTTTATTTTATTAGGGATAGCACTTTAAACAATGTTACATCCTGAAAACAAAGCAACAGTTGTTTTGTACGTAGGATTTTAGCCACAAGCAAACGTGCAAATCCAGTCATTTTTTGGATATGAAGCTATCCTTATGATTGTAGCCCATGTGAGCTAAAAACATACAGTTTTGTCAATGAATTAGAATATTAATTAAGTGCTTATTTTAGTAACTCTATTCACCAAGTAAAACTCATTCCGTAAATTATTTTTATACTGACGACTTTATGTCTGACAATAGACATAGACCTGTGAGAACAAAAATGAGTTTTGAACATTATTGCTGAGCTTCTGTTTGTCACCCTGACGGTGAAACTTACTGGTAAAACTGCAAAGATGTTGTTTCCTCAAAAAGCTGGGATTGCAGCTAATTCTTCGCTGAGAAACTCACATTTTTCAGTCCATCGGTGTGACGGTGTTCAACATGTGATTGAGTTTGTGCTGAGAACAACAGGCTGCAAGACACACTGGGGCACATTGTGATGATGAAACAATTCCTTAATGGAGAAGTGGAGCAGTTTGGTCAAAGAAAAATTTACAAAGCATCTGCAGACTATTGAGAGACCATTTTACCATAAGGCTCGACCCAAAGAAAGGTCAGCAACTGCAAAAGACAACCACTGTTTTGGAATATCTCTCATTAAAGTCTCCACTCAGGAAAATGTAAAAACCATCATCATAATTTTATTTCCAGAAATAAAATAACCAAGTTGGGGTACTGGAACTCCATTCATGTGACCACGTTATGGAGCAAGGCTGTAGTGAGCTACAGAAACAGACATGTTATTAAACTCATGAAACTGAAACCACTCTCTGGAATTTACTGTGAATATTTTCTATATTTTTCCAAATTTTAAACAAAATGTCATATTCCACAAAGGATAGTCAGACTGTTTTGTACCTTTATTTGCTACTACTTTCACTGTGCGGCTAAAACGGAGAAATAGACAAAAGAGAAAATTGAAAGCCTGATTCTATAGATGCTTCTTGTTTGTCTCCAGGAATGGGAGAAGTTGAATTATGACATCCACACACTGCGCTACGCCAGGCGAGAAGTCAAATCTCGATGGAAGAAAATCTTGCTACAGCTGGGTGAGGCACAGTGCACCTCTAAATTAGAATAATACGGGAAAAAGCATTGAAAACAGTTACAGAATTTTACGAAATACTTTAACTACATCTGCCTTATGAAAAAACAAATCACATACATTTCCCGGTGTGATTTTGATCCACAAAAGTGTTTAAGTTTCATTTTTAACTGTGGACTTCTTTAAAGCGAAAGCAAAAAGTATTTTTCTATTTCTACCAATTCCTTTATATAAGGTAATGTGGCCTGTCCCTGTGTCTCTGCAGGTTATCAGTGTGAGGTGGATTCCCTGCTGTGTGTGAACAGACAGAGCCATTTCAGACCAGATCAAGAACATTTTGGCAAAGCTGCTGACCTTTTAAAACAGCTGCTGGATCACACCTCTCTGTTCCCTCCTAGAACAGAACATCATGACAGATACCTGTATGTCATGGTACGGATGTTCACATGACTGTTTGCTTTCCTTCAGCATGTTCACGTAGCCTTTTGTGATTATTAGACCAACTGTGGTTGATTGCAAATGAACTTCAACTGTATTCTTGCTCTATTCACAAAATCAATGGGAAAAAAGTCAGATATTAGAGAGTGGTGTTTTTTCATTTGAATCAGCTGTTGTGGTCTGTTTTGTGATGATTTTTTTTTTTTTTTCATTTTCCTTGGTGTTTTCTTTAGGACCGCCTGGTGTCACTGGACAGTGCAGAGGACTTTATTAAACTGGCCAAACAAAAATATCCCAAGAAAGAAGGCTGAGAGGCAAAGCAAGCAGGAACAAGGAGAAAAGTTGAAATAGTATTTCAACTATGTCTGCACTGTTAACAGACTGAAGTACAGGATTGTGCAAACATATAGTATTTATGTTTAACATATAGTATTTTGCATAGTAAATTTAAAAGATCACATAAACGTTTTTATGTGATTATATATGCTTCATATACAATTTCTAGTTTGAGGTTCAGTAAAAACTGAATTTCTAACAATATTTCTTTTTGCCTCTTGGAAAGAATCAGCATTCTTTCCAAGTGGCATTATTAATGTGACTATGCATTTTTTGCATAGTAATATGCAAATAATGCTTTATAGCATATTTTGATTTTGACTTTGTGTCTTTGCATAATAGTATCTGAGCAAATGCAGGTGTTTGTTTTGTTTTACATAAGCAGAACTTTTTTTTAAAAAAAGTAGTTTTTTGCCATTTGTAAGAAAAAATATTTTTGCATTTTTAGTTTTTAAACTTACACTCCTTAAATATTTATATTGTATAAAATAATTTGATACAATGTATATAAACTGCTGCATTGTGTCAGTAGGGGGCAGCATATGTTTACATCTCATTGGGCTTTGGTGATTAGTTGACAACTCATAGAATTAATGTAGTTTTCATTCAGAATTCAAAAACACAAGCAAAAAAAAATTAATTACAATTTGAGTCCAAAACTAGCCCTGCAATTCATATTAAAAAGTGTAAATAACAACAAAGTAAACAGAAAACACAACCAATAATTAATCTGAATTATTCCCCAGATAACTGAAATTCCCTTTTGTAAATTACTGAAGTGGGATCGATGCAAAATGAATCATTGTGACTTATAACGACAATAAGACATTATCCAAAAAAAAAAAAAAACTAAAAAAACAAACAAAGAAAAAAACTACAAGTTTTTTCCTGGATGGCTAAAGCAGAAATAGACCACCACCAGCTTCACATGACCTCAGCCAGAGATCATACAATACATGCTTGTCATGTGTGATGCACACGTTCATGCTTGCTTGCACACATGTGCACCCAGAAAGAGAAAGTTTCGTCTGACCCAGATATTGTTCTCTCCAAGGCCCCTTCCCAAGTTTGGGAAACAGATGTGGAACTAAGTGAGGGGAAATGGGAGGGGTGGGGGAAGGGAGCCGGACAGGATGGAGGCACTGAAAGACATCGAACTGGATACACCTTTTTCTCATTAAACCTCAGAGAGTGTGTGTATGTCTGTGTGTAATACTGACATCATCCTTCAGACTTAATCTCATTCTCCATATCCCCCACATCCCAACACCCCCCACAACCCTCTAACTAAAGGAGTTTATCTTTTTTTGGACCTAAATATTGTCCAAATGATTAACAGTTATTGCTGACGAACCGGCTGATTTATTTGTTCTCTATGTTTAAAAGAGAACATAGAGATTATTGCAATCTATTGTGATTGGCATCTATGGTTCTGTCCAAAGTTTGGAGTCATCCTTTTTCCTTTCTTCCTTTGCTTCCACGAAACCTGACCTTTCAGTAATATTTCAAAGTGATTTTTATCACTTCTAGAATATATCTTTTCTCTTTTTCTGTCCAGTTTTTTGATTGAGGGAGAGGTGTTTTTCTTGTTAAATTGTTAGTTAAAAAGGCATGCCAAAAATCAGATACAGACAAACTTAAAATACAAAAAAACATTTGGGAAAATATCTAAAGTAAAAAAAGTAAACTGCAATGAATTGTGGTTAATCTAAGTATATTGTTTCCAAATATGTTCCTGCATTCAGTCACAAAGTCAAATGATAAGTTTGAAAAAGCAGACTTGGTTCTGAGTGCTGTTTCTCAGTGAAACCTAATTCTGTAGAAAGGAAATAAGCAGAGCCATGGCACACAATGTCATGGCTTTTATATACAAGTCATTGTCCAGAGTCCTTAGTAACACTAATTGTAATGACACACTTTATGGTTGGTCTTCAGGCATTTTTGTAACTTCTTAGAGAGCAAATAATTATTATATTTGTATTTTTGTACATATCTGAGCACATATAACCCTTCCTGGCAAAGATGTGTAAGAGGTTTTCACTCAATATATTTTTAAAAAACAATCCAGCCTTTAATTTGAGTACTGTGGTCAATTCAATGCCCTTAGCCACATATGATTAAACTGAATATGTCATCAGCAGCTCCTACAATGCTTGTTGATGAGTTACGGTGAAAATTCAACCAGCTAAAGCAGGAACATATCTATAATTTGTAGGACATTGGCCTTGAGGACCAGAGCTGTCCACCTTGGCTGTAGATTGTCCAGAGTCCTGGGTCCTCCATGATGAACCCTTTTATTTGCTCAATCTGCAATCTTTCCAAAGCATTCAGGTCTGTGGGATCACATAGATTTTACTTTTAGTGAGATGGAGTAAACTACTTTAAAAATTGTCTTACTTTTTTCCAGGACTTCCTTTGTGTTTGCTTTTTAAAATTTTTGTTGCTCCCTTTGTGCTTTGTTTAGTTAACTTCCCTGTGTACTCATTTGGTGTCGTTTCAAAGCCCTTCTAAGATGACTGTTGCTCCCTCGTTTACCCTGTAGCTGCAATCTGCCAGCAATGACTCATTGGTTTTGCAATCCAGTAATCACCTCCCCAGAATTTAAACCTTTATCTCCAGCCTTACTCTTTTCAGATCCATTGTTTTCAATGTCTGGTGCCATTCTCCTATCGTACTACGTGTTTTCATGTGTTCACTGGAAGTTCATGATTATTAAATCATTATCAACTTTGACATAATCCAATTTTCAATCTGTATTTTCAACTTCCACCACCATCAATCTTATTGTAGGCTATCTTTGAGATAGCAAAGAGAATTTTTTATTTCATGTCTGCTGAAAATGTTTACATTTGAATTGACAAACAATATCCTGAGTCCAGAAGGTTCAAACCTCAACTCCATTGTCAATCTTTGAAGAAGTGCTGCTGGAGAATTTGTGCATTAGATATTGGCAAATGAAAGCAAATCAAAGCTAAAGCCAGTCAAATGAACTGCTACATGAGCTTCTGTGCCATTTAATAAATATACTCAGAGAAAACATGAAGTTTTCTCTGAGTTTCAACATAAAAAGTAAATTACCTTTTAAAAATGCATTACTTGCAGTTGAGAAAAAGCTATTTTTTAATCTACAAATTGAGACCAATAATGGTTACAAAGAATATTGTCTTAGCATCTCGATTTTCAGATGTATTCAGACAGTAATTAAGGTGACATTGATTTTACAACATGATATAAAAACTTATCCAGTGTCTTATTATTTGTGTATTTTTCCTTCTTTCCCCATTTTTAATGATCAAACCCCTGGTTTTCAGAACAGTCCAGATTGTTACCCAGTCTAACATTAACGATTCTTGTTACCCATTATGGCTTGGTTTATCAGTCCCTGACAAGGGCTTCAAAGATTTAATTTCACTATAATGGAGGCTTATGAAACTGGTGCTCCCATAGCTTAAATGAATTTCCAACCTTTAGCAGCCCCACAGGTTTTACTCATTAACTCTGATTCTTAATGGGCCAGACATCATGTTTTTCCAGATGCCTCACTTTTAACTCTCAAAGCTTCCACTGTTTATTTCCCCGGGCATTTTCTGATAAGACACTGCTGCGCCCATGCACACAGACACTAACAGACATATAGATAAGTTTATGTGCACAGACAGCAATTTACAACGGATGTTTAGAGAAGCGAACAAATAAACCAAATGACAATGTGCTGACCTCTTTGACTTCGGATGGATGGCCAGAAATCAAAGGTCTGCTCAGAAAACGTAACACCAAGCTTCCTTTAGCAAGTCCAAACCCTGCTTTTGCTAACCAAGCTCAACTCTCTACACATAGAAGTAGCAATAATAGGCTTTCACAGTAATTATATATGTATTTTTTAATATATATATATATCATAGTATTATAATGGTAAATACTTTGCTAGCCTTCCTCTGCCAAAAGACTTAACAGTTGCTATCAAATAGATTTTTTGGCTCTGAAATATTGCTTGGACATCAAGGAACAGCAATAAATTATTTCACTTTAGTAATAAAAAGCAAGCTGCTTTGCATATTACTGCCATTCTTAGTTTCTTAGGTCACCCAGAAGATAATAATCACAAAACACAGAGACACACAAACACATGCACACTAAGACATGCTGGTTAAGCAAATCTGCAGGCAGGGCAGGGTGTGTGCAGCATGCTTGTGGTCATCAGTGGTGGAAGAGTAATTACACGAGTCCACCGATGCTCTTGAAACATCTTGATTTATTCCCCTCAAATTGAACACAATTAAATGAGATAATAGGGTTAAATTTAATTATTATTCATTGAACGGCATTTGTTCCATGGCTGTGATCAGATTGTTTGGTGCATCTTCGCCTTCCTTCATTAGGACTGCTGTACAGGATCAGTGATCTAGGTTTAAATCTAACTTTAAATACTCACATTTGATTCTCATAAGCTGTGTAGGTTTGGACCAATAATAAGAACTGACACTGGAGCTCCATCCAGATGCAGCTGTGGATGCGTGCTCTGCCTGCTGTTTGTGTGCACATGTCGCAGCATTCACTGATGTGGTTTGGGATGTTTGAGTGATCTCACACAGCTGTAATAGCCTTGGCTTCCCCCAAACTGCCAAACAGACTCTTTGACATGTGTGGACGTGTCCGTCCTCTTATTAGTGATGAGCAAGAGATTCCTTCCTTCATGCATTCAGAATCACTAATGTCTGCCTGTTAGGAACAGTTGTCCAACCCTAAATGCTTGACTACAACTCAAACTGCTTTGTCCCTGCAATAAAACATGAGTTTACGATGTGTGGAATTTTTTTCTGAGCAGAAAACAACTGAAAATGGATTAAAGCAAGAAAAGTAAAAATGAAAATTGGGAAGGATAAAATGGGATAAATATTTCAAAAAATAATTTTTTGTCTCTCAGCTGGCGTCTTAAGCACTCATTGTTTCCATTAAAATTTTAAACACTCATTGTTTCCATTAAAATTAATGTTCCACAAGAGCTGTTGTGAAGTTTACCCTCAGCGCAGGGAAAACTGAGTCTTAAATAGACTCATTCTACTTAAGACCAACAGAAATGAAAGTCTTCAAATCTCCAGGAACACATTTGAGATGTTCCCTCTTGAGAAATAAAAATACCCAAATTACTCCTAGATT